AGAAATGGTGCCACTGTGGTATTTATTCTGTTTTAATGGTGAATATTTGCTCTGGGAAGTGCAAAGGTACTGCCTGGCAATTTTAGAAACTGTGCAGGATACAGACTTAAAGCAACATCACTCCATGTTGAATTCATTTACACATTTACTTATCAGTGTAAACGTTGCTTTTGAATAAGTTCTGGTTCTATTAAAATCACGTATAACCAGATAAAAAGCTTTGCACTGTGCAGCTCTGCATCACAACCGTGCAAGTTCCCGCTATATGAATTTTTTTTTTTTGAACTTATGATCAAAATACTGATGTGTTCCTTATTGAAAGGTAAACAGATAGTGGAAAATAAGTCTTTAGAGAGGTGATCCATCAACTCTGCCAGCAAAATGTCACCCACCCAGGTAATTCCTAAGTGGAGAGAACACTTGTTTCCTCTGCAGTAACTTGTCTTGGCTGAATCATTGTCACTTCCATCCTACCCCTGCAGTGGGGCACAGTGCTAAGGACTCTCTGTAGGCTTTTTTTTTTTTTTCCCCTCCTCTTTAAACACGAAAAAATAACGTTATCTTGAAAAGAGCTTTTCCTGCCTGACTCAAACTTGTGCAACGACTTCCTTCTGCAAACAGCAGCACGGGGCAGGACAGCCCTCAGCTTCCTGCAGCTCGTGGCTCTGCAGTGGCTCAGCCAGCAGGTCTGAGCCTGCTCTCAGCATTGTTTATTCACTCCTGCGTGACATTGAGCAATCACTGAAAACCTTCCCTTCGGAGTTAATGTGCCTGAAATACAGGTTGGCTATTTCAGAACGTGAAATTGCTCCTGCGTTTTGATTTTTAATTGTAAGCCCCCCGTTTCAACAGGTTTTAAATGAAATTTCAATGTACAAGAGGCTGACCATTAGCGAGGATATTTTTTGAGGGTTAAGGCGCTATTGCTATAAAATGGATTTTAAAGTCTTGCTTGAAAAAAAGGTTTAAGGGCCAAGTGCAAGCTGGACAGGTGAAAATCAGGGAGCTTGTTATTCTTAGGTATTTAACTCAGCTATTTGTGGTAGTTGTGGGGTTGTTTTGGTTAAAGGTTGAGTGACCTGAGCCTGCCTGTCCCTTTTGTAGTGGATGAACCTGATGTGCATAAGAGAATCTTGGGTCAAAATTGGGGATCCATTGGGCTCAGTCTCCTGTCTCCCAGCAGTGCCCATAAGCAGATGCTCCTCCCTGCATTGCCAGTCACTTTCAGCTCCTGATAAACTGTTTTTTAATCAGCTGAAGTTGGAGAGGAGTAATTCTGTTCTCTCCCGTGTTTGTCCCTCTGGAGATGGAACAAAATGATCCTTGCCAGATGTTTTTAGAACTGCCTCTGAAGAGCAGGGTTTCTTCATCTTGGGTATTGGCTTATATGAATTAAAGGATTAAAAAAACACCCCAAACCTTTTCTTGAGACTTTCCTTTTCCCAACTACTCGAGAGTTGCATTAATTTTACAGAAATCACCAATACCTAGGAATTGCCTCACCCTCTCAATTGATGTAGCTGATTATCTGGCCAGGAACAGTGACTGTTTGGTTACATCTGTGTGAAGTGGATGATTGCAATAAATACTCTATTGTGTCTATCATGCACATACCTAACATGGTTTTATTTAGTAAAGCCACTGAGTTTCATAACCAGGCTTTGTAAACAACCCCAGGTCTCATCAGAGTCATTGTTCAGTGCTAGAGCTTGTTATTGCTTATTAAAAACAAGCAAACAACCCCACCCCCCTGCACATTCTGGCTTTGAGCTGTGTCTTTTTCTCTTTTAATCTTTCAATGTGAATTTAATGACCTCTGCCAGCTGGTTTTGCTCACTTCCTCAGCTAACAACCTGTCCTCCCTTGGGGATGGCTCAGTGCTGTTCCTGGTGGTCCTGGGCTCGATTCCAAGAGCCCTGACCCTCCTACAGCTGGATCCCAGGGTGGGGAGAGCTGCTCTAGGCTGATAAAAGCTCCCAGTTTAATTGCTGAAACTTCTTTTGGACTGTGAAGTTGCTGTTGGTGGCCTGCACGTGTTGCTGCACCAGGCCGAGGTTTTTAGCCAGCTGATTTTCCAAGCTCGATTTCTGGAGAGCTCCAAAGAGAACCAGAAACACTGTTTGGAGAGGAGGTTTGTGGCTGAGCCATTTGGCCAGTTCAGAAACCTTCTTCTGTCGAGGCATCCCTCTAATTTAATTAGGGATCACCTCATTACACAGAATCAGGAGTGATTATGCCCAGAGTGGTTCAGTGGGTAAGCACAGAATTGTGTCCTGTGTGAGCCGTTTGGGTTGTGGGGTTTTGTTTTGGTGTTTTGTTGTGGGTTGGTTGGTTTGTTTTGTTTTTGTGGTTTTTTTTTTAAACTTAATGGTGGCACTGAGTTCTTTTCTTGGGGTTTGAGCTGTTGCTGGCTGGTGGCAGATGTTTGAGAGCCCAGTGGTGGAGAGCACTGAGTTCCTGGTGGCCACAGCAGAGGGAAATCAAACCGTGTGGGTTGCTGGGTATAATGAAGTGAAGAACAGAGAGGGGGTTCAGTGTGATGCTGCAGCAGTGCCACCTCCCTCAGCCCCATCTCAGGCATGCAGGTCACTTAAAAAAAGCGCAATTACTGCATAGCATGTGCCCTGCTGAACCCTGGCATTAAAAAGGGGAACATGAAAGCAGCAGTGCCACCATTCCAGAGGCTCCACCTCGAACAGGCGCTCCCTGACCCTGAAGGGGACGTCCCCCTCGTGTGTTCTGTGTGTGTGGTTCCTCTCAGAACCTGGTGAAGGGCTTCACTCGTCCTGCTGGGTCAGGACTGGCTGGGATTCACATCAAGGGCAGGGCAGAGCCGTGCAGAGCAGTCTGGACAGAAATCTCCAAGTGCCTTTGGCCGTTGCCTCCAAACTCGGAGAGTTTTGCTGTGAATTCCCAGCCTTGAATCCTGCCTGGCTCTGGCCATGCTGTGACAGTGGTTGGTGCTGCACGTCCTGAACCCAAGTTATCCCCAAAGCTGTCCTGCCATGGGCAAGGCTGCCAGTTGTGCCACCCTGGGTTTAAATGGGGTGAGTCTGGTGTGGACAAGAAGGCAGAGGATAAACAGAGAGGGTTAAGCTCGTTTCTGGATTGGAAATGGCGCAGGAACTGTTGTGCCAACCTTTCTTCCTCTTCCCTTCTTCCTAAAACTGGTAAAATGAAAGCTCTGTACCAGCCTGTGCTGCCTCCAGTCCCTTCCCATCCTCACCTCTGAACTGTTTTCTCTCAGTGGTGCTGCCTCTGGCCTTGAACCTCCAACCTCCCCTGTTGCTTCAGAATGGGAAGGACAAAGCTTTATTGAACTGAACATCCTCTCTCTTCTCTGGGAGCTGTTTGGAACAAGCCTCTCCCGGATCAGAGCCTGCTGCTTTTGCCCTGCTCTGCCACAGCAGCTCCTGCCTTTTTGATATTCCAGCACAGGCTTCCATCTCCTCTCTGACCAGCCCCTGTTTACTTTGCAGAACACAACGTTGCCATGGCAACAGGTTACTTTTCAAAGGGAACATCTTGTCATTATATTTAATCCACTGCAGCTGAAGAGGACTGAAATATTAAGTTGTTGTTGCTATGGATACTGCTTTGTTACAGCAGTTTCTTTTGTGTCACATTTCATATACAGTGTTGGCTCCTTTTTTTTTTTTTTCCCCCCTTTCCCGTCAAATAAACACAGGATGCCATTCCATTCTCATTGTAATTGCTCTCACCAATATAATTTAGCTTAAAACCTACAGTGCATTTTAGTTTTCCGTAAGGAGAATTTTCTTTTCCATCTGAAACCCATTCCTGGGGACGTGGAAGCGGTAAAAGATCATGGAACAGCTTGTGTGCCCTTGCAGAGCCATCATCAGCTTTGTGCCCTTTTAAAATGCCAGTGGGATGTAGAGCAGCCTGCACAGCAGCTTCACTCAGCCCTGTCCTCACCTTTGGGGCAGGGGAGGGTGTGAACATTGTCAGAACATGCTGATGGAAAGACACACAGAACTATTTCTCTCCACATTTCACGTGGGAAATGGTTGGATAACCCCACTGAGTTTCCATGGGAATAGATGGGAGCAGAAGTTCCATCCAAAACTTTGCTTTAAAGTTTGCAGTTGCTTCCAGGATCCTCCAGCCCTGATTATTAAATGCTTTATTTATCAAATTCACTGTTGTGCAGCTGAAGAAATTGGGAGGTGGGGTTGGGGGGGGATATTTGGAGCGCTGGGGTTTTTCCTGTTTGAACTGAAAGCAGCCCAATTTTCTGTGTAGGTACAGCAGCCCTTGGCTGGGGTGCAGAATTGGAGCTGGCACAGGCATGTTTTAGGTTTGACTTGCTCTGACTAGCAGAGATGTGCACGGCTTCCAAATGAATCCTGGGAATAAAGGGAGAGCCATCAGCATTTTCTCCTGTCAGGTTCCCCCCTCCTTCCTCACAGGGAAAAAAAATTCTGACACCTTGTAGCTGGAAAAAAACCCCCAAACATACCCTGGTATTTAATGTGTAACTTTGTAAATATAAAATTGATTTCCTGGTTCAGTCATTGCTTTGCATAACCTGCAAACAAGAGAACAGTGTCAGATCGTGTCTCGCAAAAATATGCATTGAGGGGGAAAACATTTTGACATGTTCTCGTCGTTTTCAGGAGGCTCTTGGCATGGATTTTGGAGTGGATTTGCTTCCTAGGGAGGGTAACATTGCCAAAATATCACGGCATAGGATGGAGTGTTCCAAAGGCAGTGTTTGTTCCTGTCTGACAGGTTCTCTGGTGCCCTGGGTAAGGCCTGTTCAGGTCCACGCTTGGGCACTGCTGATTTAACAGCTCAGGATGGTCAGCAAGGGGAAGCTCAACTTCATACCCCTATTGAAACACATTTTTGAAATGTTGAGGGGAGAGTGTTCATTGAGACATGCATAAAACCCTCCAGTGACCTTTCTGCCATCAAATGGGATTTAATGCTTTGGGGCAGTTCTTTCTGATTGCTGTTCTTTCTTTGTATCTTAGGAGGCTAAACAGTACCCAAGGTGAAATCAGAGTTGGACCCAGCCATCAGGTAAGGGATTTTGTTTGTATCCCAACATCTGGACATGCTTTTGCCTCTTGATCTGTTCAGATGATGCTTGTTTAAAATCACATGTGATCAAATGCAGCGAGTTTTTCAGAATCATCTTTAGATGATTCACTTTAGTGAGTTCTTTAGAATTCCCAGGCCCAGGTTTTTCTGTCAGATATGGATATATTGATGATTTTTACTAGCAGAAGTGCTGTGGGGTTAATTCTTGAATAAGACTGAAGCAATTTGAGTATCTACTGGAAATTAAGAAGTGCCTTAAGTAGTAGTTTGGATTGTTAAAACAGGAATTAAGAAAGCTGAGTGTGTTCCAACACTGGGAAGCAGAATAAGGTTAAGACTGTAGTTGTGCCTGATATTTTAGTGCTAATTTGAGGGAAATCCTCCATAAACAATGAAAATAATCTGCTCTTAAAGAGCATTAACATACAACTTAGTGTGGTTCATGGAGCCAGATCTGTCATTGGGAGCTGAGTCCTCTCCTTTACCTGTGGAATTGCCTCTGCACTGTCCAGGTACTGCATTTTCACATCCAGGTGATGAATATTCATTCAGACCCTTTTAAAAACGTTGTTTAATAACAAGTGAAAGTAAATATTTCTGGAACCCACATTCTTAAGGATGTTTTGCTTCAGAGGGAAAAACGTCCTTGGCAATTCAACCTGTGGTGTTCTCCCCAGTGGTTACAATAAGAGCACTGTAAATGGTACCTTCGCAACAACTTTCATCTCAAATTGTCAGCTAATATTTTGGCAGGCATTAGTCACCTGTGCTGGAAGGTGCAATTACCAGATGCATTTATGGATGGGGGAAAAAAAAAAAAAAAAAAAAGGAGTAGGGAGAAGGTCCACTGATTTAGAATACTGTTAATTCTTGCTTGGTTAGTGTTTTAAACTTGCATTGCTGAGCATCCATGAGCAAATGTCCCCACGGAGAGGATCGTTCTCAGCCTGTTAATTGGTGTGAGGTGTGATCTTAAGGTCCAGGAATGGCTGATGGTTAGGGCTGGTGGGAATTGGGGCTGAAGATGATATTTGCTGCTCTGCTGTGTGGTCTGTGGGAGGTGTCCAAGGGTCTCCTGTGCACCCTGGGCTTTAGCCCTGGGGATGGATGTGGATCCACTTTCCTCCACCCACCTCAGTGAGCACGTGCAGCAGAGTCCAGAAACAACCCTGAGGTCCCCAGTGGGCAGTTTTTTATGAATCTTTTGCCTTCATTTTCCTCAGGTTGTGTGTGTTACAGCTGCTGGAGGCTGTTGTTTGTTGGTTTTTTACTTAGTGCACAGATACCCCAGAGTTCCCTGTGTCGTCGTGGCAGACAAGGACACAGGGGAAGATAAATGTTCTGTGGAGCTGCAGTTCTCAAAATTCACCTGCACAGGAGGACAGTGGGTCTCTACTGAATGTTCTCCTGTGACAGCTGTTGGCTAATTAATGCCCAGGTGGTGGAGTGTCCCCCTCCCTCTGGAAGTGTTTAGGGAAGGACTGGACGTGGCACTCGGTGCTCTGGGCTGGTTGACAAGGTGGTGATGGGTCCCAGACTGGACTCCACGATCTTAGAGGTCTTTGCCAACCTCAGTGATTCTGTGCTCAAGGGGAAGTTGCTTTTGGGAGTGACATTCCGAGGGGTGCAGGAGGCTGAAGGTGGGTTTGAGCAGAGCACCCTGGCTGCCTCGCTCCCACACCACCCTCAGCTGGGGATAATGCTGGCTTATCCTCTTCCACAGGAGAAGTTCAATGACATATCCATTTTCCCAGGCAAGGAGTAAAATAAAGTACAGATTAAAGAGCAGAACATGAAAGACATCTGAACCTGTGACTTGTAATTACTGGTTATGTATAAATGTTGCCTCTCAAATACGTTTAGCGTTGTAAGTATAGGAGGTAATTATAGGGCTTAAAAGCTGTTTCTGAAGAGGCTCTCAGCTATCTCATCTCATAGCAGTAGATGACTAAAGATGCTAATTGGGTCTCTGGATAGAGTGTAATACTTATTTAGTGGCAGGGTTCATTTTGCTGAGCTATCTCGCTTTCAGGAAATGTCTTTGTTTCTCTTTCGAGTTTTAATGATTTACTGAGGATTTGATTTTAAATTTAGTATCACGTGTGTAGGGTTTTTTACTGATTTAAAGTGGGACACATATGGTAGCTACATTCTTGCCTTCTTTCTTATTAGTATGTTATAGCCTGGCAAGCAGAGTTGTCACAGCATCTTTGTGACAAATGCAATCTCTGTCTCTGAGGGTAAATTGTCCATCAGTATTTGACTTCTGTACAACAGAGGGCTGTGTTTGCAGTACAAAATGGTTTCCTTTCAAGCCCTAATATTTCTGCAGACATGCTTGGTCTGTGTGGTGGGAAGAAATGCTGAATAAAGGGATTAGGTTGGGGCTTGATGACCCAGTTTCCTCATAAACTTTGAAAACTTGGATCAGATAGCTTCACCACCTGTTGTCTGAGTATCTTCCATCTATGAGATCACCATATTGCAGAGAATTTACAAGCTTGTGCATCCTCCTAACATTAGGCAGAACTGCAGTGTCTGTATGAATTCCATTTTTACCCAGGCCAAGCTCCCCGACCTGCAGCCCTTCCCTTCCCCCGATGGTGACACGGTGACACAGCATGAAGAGCTGGTGTGGATGCCAGGAGTCAACGACTGTGACTTGCTGATGTACCTGAGGGCTGCCAGGTAATTCCAGCCGCGACCCTGCAGTGCCTGTGTGCTGCTGGAGGGGGAATGTGGGGTGCTGTGGGATCCGATCCCTCCTTTATTCTCTTTCGGGATAACGTGGCTGCTGAAATGTTTAGTTTGAGACGAGAATGCTCAGATTGGCTGTTGGGCCAACAAGGCATCTTTGCATCAGCTGTGGCTTTTGGCTTTAAAGTGCAAAGCCAGCAGTGTGTGGTGCAGTATGGGATGTGCATTGTGGAAGCAGGGAAGGAACTGCTCCGAGTGGACGAGCTGTGACGGCACAGGATTCCTTCAGAGGCTGGGTGTTTGGAGCTCTGGTTTGCATTTGAGTTCCATGCACATCTCTGGTTTGCCTGGCAGATTCACAGTAATTCAGAGTCTTGGTAAATTATCTGTAGCTTGCAGGAGTTCAGAGATTGGGGAATCTGCAATTCAAGTCAGGTTTTTGACATCATAAAACGAAGATGACAGCAAGAAGTTTGCTGTCTCTGCCGAGACTCCGTTCTCATGTCTGGAGGTTGTGTCTTCCTTCATGCTGATCAGGCTCTGCTTCTACTGCAGTGCAGATTTTTAATTGATGAAACCCAATTAGATTGGGGTTTAATTTTGAAATAATTATCGCATATGCTGAGGTGACTCAGCTTTCCATAACCACCAGTGTTGGGTGCCTCGTTTTCCTCCTTCCCACGGCATCACGAGGCCCCGAAATTTATGAGTTAAGCTGTAAATACACTGTTTGTGCCTTGCATGATGTGTGCACCAAAGAGCAGCTGGGGAATGTAAACTCTTTTGCCCTCCAACTCTGCAGGAGCATGGCAGCCTTTGCAGGAATGTGTGATGGAGGATCCACAGAGGACGGCTGCGTGGCTGCCTCCCGTGACGACACTACCCTGAACGCCCTCAACACAGTGAGTACAACTCCTGCAGGGAAGAACAGCCCTCCCGTTTATTTCTGGCTACTCAGAGCCTGCAGTGCATAAAGCAGTGGATAAAACAGCTTTAGGGATCACGACATGAGGCTGATTGTAGCTTGGGATGTCGTGGCTTCCTTTCAAACACCGGCCCGTTTTCTGAGCTGCGGAACTTCAGGGATGAGCTTTTGGGTGGTGCCTTTCAGGGCATCCCAGGGAATGTTCTGTGTGGAAAAAACTGCTCAGGTCAGGTCCACCAGCTGGAATTGTGACTTTTCTCAGCTGGCCCCTGACCTGGCAATTGGTCCTTCCATTCAGTCCAGCCAGTCTGGGATGTTCACTGAGGTTCAAATGCCTGCATTTTTAACAGGGGAGATGTTCCCTCCCTTATCAAACCCACTTGCTTTGGGGTTTTTAATTTTATTTCCACTTCTGTTTGATTTCTTGTGTTTCAGGAGGTGAATCAATTTTCGTCCTGCAACAGGCAGGAGTAAAACAGTATTAAGATCTAAAATGTTCCCCTGTAATACTTCCTGAGTAAACAGTGCCAGAACTTTCGTTCTTGTTCAAATACACACACTTGAATGTGTAACAAGCTGAAAATCCAAGATCAAATTCTGCTCCCAAATTAAATCCTTCCTTGTTGTTCTCACTTTTGACTTCTGCAAAGTCAAGTCTTGTTTCTCAGTGCTTCACAGAACTGAGTGTAGGAATCCCAGTCCTTTGGTTCCTCTCCTGAAGGTTTTGTGAGGTGCAGATTTTTGTGCTGTTTGGTGAGTGCTGCAGTTCAGTCTCTACTGCACATCCTCTTCAGATTCTCACCTGGGTTCCATTTTATTTCCTGCCTTTCCTTGGGATGGATGCCACCTGATCCTGCTGCCTCACCTCTCCAGAGATGCTCAGTTGTTCCTTTACATCCTTCTCAGAGGCTCAAATTCCTGTTAAGGTCAAAAATCATCAAAGAGGTTTTGGAATTGGAATTTTTTCCCCCTTATCTGTAAGAAAAGACTAGTGCAGAAAATTCATTTAACTTTGCTGCTTTGCCATCTACTTTAATTACCCCCTTTAATCACTCAGCAGCCCGAGGAGTCTGGAGTTGCACTTGTAGAGTTCTTGCTTCTGAAATTAGATTAGTCCCAAAATATTTTGGTTGTGTTCTTCTGATTCTTTTCTCTTTGTGTTGCACATCTATTTTAGAAAATACTTTCCTTGTCCCCTCGGAATTTTTCTAGCAAAGAGTTCCCTAATAAATAACAGTTCTGTCAGGGATATTTTAAGAAACTTGGACTTATTTCTGAGCACCTGCTTTTTTGACTGACTTAAAACAGTTAAATTTGATGTCCTGACAAAATGGTACCTCTTTTTTATCTTTCACCATCTATTTAAAACAGATCAGATTTATCTGATAAATAATATCTGAGACTCTTACCTGCACTAAGTTGTGTTTTTGTTTAGAAATTACCATGTGCAACCCAGAAGATGAATGTAAAAGAAACTGATAGGGGTATATGATTTCTTATTATGGAAATCCAATAAACTTCAGAGCAGCCCTTCACATAAATCAGCCTTGACAAGCTCCTTTGCTGGTGTTTTATTTATGTAATAACAGGTGCTGTAAGCCCCCAGAATGATTTATTGTTAATTATACCAGATAGAAATGAAGATCACGGGAGGCACAATGCAACAAACAGACACATATATATTTATATTTATATCTCAGCCTCACTGAAATGATTATTCACTTAAACATGCCAGGTAAATTCCAGCTCCTGTCCCTTTGTTTGCCTGTTGGCATTCGCTGCCACGTTTGTCACTGTAACCCCTTAGGAGGGAAATCAGGTTTTCATTTGGAGTTTGTCGCCCTCCTGATGGGTTGTGGTGTCAGATGGGAAGGGAGGGAGGAGGACACAGCAGCTCCTGCAAGGCTTTCACCACAATATGTGGTGAAAAATGAGCTTGGGGAGTTCTTTGGGAGAAAGGAGGTGCCCCAGACGTGACAATCCGTGGGAGGGTGTGACATGGTGAATACTGAACATAAACCTGCTGCTGGTGGGTGTTGAGGAGGGAGAGCTGGGGTAAATCCTGGTGCAGCTCTTCCCCTCCCTCCCACCTCTGTGCCCTCAGGAGCTCTGCCTCAGTGTCAGATGTGGTTTAAGATCCTCTCAGTGTCAGAAACTCCTGACCTCAGCTCTCCTTTTGACCCGTGCCTGCTGGGCAGGGGGGCTGCAGTTCTGTTCTCCCAGATCCCAGCTCAAGGAGGGGTTAATTCACTGCTCTGTGCCCGGCTCTGACAAATTCCAGAGTGCTAATTCATTGCCAGTGCTCTGCCTGACCTGTTGTGATGCAGGAGGGAGTGCGAGCACCAGTTCTGTGAGACAGCAGCCCCTAGACCAGAATCTGGGGGCGTCCACGTGCAGACTTGGAGGGAACCTCGGAGGGTTTGGGCATTTTGATGCCAGGATATTTTTGCTGGAGAAATCAGAGCCAGCAAATCTTAATTTATCCTGACACGGGGAAAAAAATGGCACCACTTAAGCTCAGGTACAACCACATGGAGGGAAGACAAAACAATCATATGCTAATGTTGTGTAAATCTCTCTTTGCTAACAGTGTTGTTCTGCCTTCTCATCACACTGTTACATGGGAACGTGTCATTATGAGTGACAAACATGGCAGTGTAATATCAGTTCAAGGAATTTCAGTTCTAACCAAGATGTCACCCAGACAAATTAACTCCCTGTTTTAACTTGCCCTTAGACCAGATTTTCTTGTTCATTAACCACAGACAAGGTTGAAAGCATAAAAAAAAAAAAAATATTTAAATGTATGTTAGCATTTCTTATTATTACCAGTTTTCCTTTTGGATGAGTCTTAATTAACATTTACTCTCATGGTTCAAACGAGGTACTGCAGCACTTCAGGGGCCACTGCTCCCTGCCTGGGCATGTTGGGAGATGAAGCCACCTCTAGTGCATGAGACAATCTGGCCACTTTGAATTTCCATTCATCCTTATCCTTGCTCGTAGGGGAAAAACTTCAGCACTTTATTTGCTGGATGAGTCAGAAAGCCTTTCTACAGAAACTATTAAAACAGGCAGATAAAAAGGGCCAAGAAATGACTGCTGGGATTGCTTTTAAAATTTTGGGGGACTATGCAAAATATTTGTATTTTCTGGAAGGTGCCTCCAGGGCTCCTTGTCTTGTTGGGTGTCAGCCAGGGCTGATAAAAATTAGATGGAGCGTATTCCATTTCCACAGTAGGGCAAGATGTCCATGGATGGAAGGAATATCCACACCCAACTGAGATTTGTCAGCTCTGCTGCTGAAGGAAGTGGCCTGAACCACATTTTGTATTAAATCAGGTGTTGGGGTGGAGTTATTGCACCCAAAGATGGGGCTGCTCAAGCCCCAGGGCAGCAATCCTCACCCTGCTTTTCATTTTCCTCGTCTTCTCCCTTCTCTCTCATCTTGGATTGTGATTTGTCTGTGACCAGTGGTCATTCCATGGAAGAACCAGCACTGGAATGTGCTGGAGTAGGGTCAGATTGGATATTTGGCAGAAATCCTTCCCTGTGAGGGTGGGCAGGCCCTGGCACAGGTTGGGCAGAGAAGCTGTGGCTGTCCCTGAATCCCTGGGAGTGTCCAAGGCCAGGTTGGAGCAACCTGGGCTGGTAGAAGGTGTCCCTGCCTGTGGAAGGTGTCCCTGCCCATGGCAGGGGGTGGAATGAAATGAATTTAAAGGTCCCTTCCAACCCAAACCAGTCTGGGATTCTGTGATTTCCAGACAGTTCAGTAACACTGTCCCACTAGACAGTAGCAATTTTTCCTTGGAGAAAAGGACTCTGGAATGTAACTGTTGTTAATGGACTGCAATTATTTAACACCGTGCCACGAATGCAGCCCAACTCTGATGGGCTTTTCAAGGCACATCATAATGACTGTAATTGCCAAAGGATGCCTTGCTGGAGCAGGAGCTGCCAGATGCAATGCCATTCTGATCTAAAAAGGTCACAGTAAAAGGGACATTTAAATTAAGTTATAAATTACAATTGAAGAACAATATTTTGATGAGCAAGCCCGGAGATGTCAGAGCTGCACGATGTAATTCATGGGTTCATTACAGCCCAGAGGGGCCTGACAGCTGAGCCGTGCCAGAGGAGAATTTATTTGCAGCATCACAGGCAGGAATGGCAGCTCTGCTGGGGGAGCAGGGACTGCAAACCTTGGGGGAATGTGCAGGCTGGATGGTGATGTGCCTGTCCTGGGATCTGCTGTTGTTTAATGGCTGTTGTAACGCAAAGGAGGGGGTTTTGGACATGTGCACATTTCAGAGTTTTTCTTTAATGCTGCGATGCAGAAGTTGCTGTATCTTCTGTTTTAAAGTGCCTCTGTGTCTGTTCCTGTTGTTGCAGACGTGAGGTCACAGTGGTGCCCAACAGAGAGGGCAGAGTTAATGCTAAAAGTGGTGATTCTCCACCTGACAGGACAATAATCTGGTGTTTGCAGAAATACCTTGAGAAGTTCAACCAGAAGTTAATGAACCCAGGGGCAGTCATCATTAGCTGTTATTTATATGTTTAAATCTTGCCCATAAAGTGCTTAGATACATTAAATGACTGAAAGTAATAATCAGAGAACTAGCCAGAATGAAACATGTAAATTTAACTCCAGCACTTAGAGAAAATATTTTTCCTTTCTGCTGCATTGTCCTACTCTTGGCATTTATTTTTTAATCTCTTCCCTCCCCCCCTCCCCACTTGATAAAAATAACATTTTTCAGGAAGCTCTAAACCTGTATCAGGTCTGTTTTCAAACATATGTCTTCTCTGTTACGTGACTCCTCTTTCATGTTTGTGCTGATGGGTTTGGTGATTATTATATTATTAATATAATCACTTGCTCAAAAGTTAATGCTTGTATTTTTCTGTCGCTGGTTTGGGACAGTCTTGGTGGGCTGCAAACTTTTGACTTCTCTGTCAGGCCAGGTCATTCTTTCTGGGCTCCTCTGGCTCGTTTTGTTTGCAGATGGAGCTGCCTGGGCAATAAAGGGGAAAAAAAAACCAACAATGTGTTGTCCTTGAGGCAAAATAAAGATGCCCTCCAAGTTACAAAGAGGCTTTGGCATCACTCGTGCTCCGGGGAGGGAGCAGAGAGGGAAGGGGAACAGAAGCACCATTCTCTTCAACACTGTCACAGTTCCTAAGTGAAAAATCTTCTGGGTACTGCAGTGCACAGGGGGGAGAAAAAACCCAACCGTTTGCAAGGTGAGCTGGCAAAACAAACAGTGCTCGTTGCTTTTTAAGATGGATTTGTTCCCAGTGCCAGAGTGCAAACAAGGAGGGAAAATGAATGTGTACCCAGGAGAAAAGGCAACATCTTATTTTCGTGCCTGGGAGTGGGGATTGCATCTGCCACTCTGAGGGCGGGACAGGCCCTAAATCTGCAGTTTTCTATCGAGTTAAGAGACAGAGATTCTCATGGGCTCCCTTAATGCTTTTTAACCCCACCCTGATTTTTAATGTCTCCTCTCCAAATTCAGAGTGAATGTGGGGTAGAAAATCAGGTGCACTGTAGGCTCTGACCAGCTGCAAGGGTGACGTGAGCTTGGACATCCCTGGTTGCTCTCGGTGGGTGTTTGTTCCCTTCCACGCTTGTTTTCCAACACCATGGTGATCTTTGCAGTGCAATAAAAAATAAAGGGAATTTTCTGGATGGGTAAACTTGACATCCCCATGACTTGCAGTCCCTCCTGTGTGTTAGTTTTTCCAGCTGATTTTACTAATCTGAACAAAAATCCCTGCGTAAAACACGACTCCTTTTGAAAAACACTCTGTTGGAGCTCCTTACAGTTTTCCTTGGAATTCCTAATGCAAAAATAATATTTTTGTTGAAGTTAACCAAAAAAATTTCAGTGCTTTGTGGGCTCAGACATGATCTGGGAGAGGTTCAGGAAGGCAGGGGAAAACACGCTTGTTTTAATGCCATTTATTCTATAATAAACCCCCAATTACCCCTCAGCCTGTTTAAATCTCACGACAGGAAAAAACAGGCAGAGAACATCTCCTGTGGGCTCCCTGTGGTGGTTTCTCTCCACATATCAGATCCCTGCTAATTCCATGGACTGATCTGTTGGTCTCCTTTCTTTTTCAGCTACACGAAAGTAACTACGATGCTGGGAAGGCCCTGCAGCGCCTGGTGAAGAAACCTGTGCCCAAGCTGATTGAGAAGTGCTGGACTGAGGATGAAGTGGTAGGAAATGATTTATTCCCCTCCAGCCTTTAAAGTTCATGTTGCATCTCTTGATTTTTTTCCTCTTTTTTTTTAATTTCCCCTCCCCCTAAAAACGTTTTTGTGAGCAAGAAAAGGGCAGATAATGGGGTACATTTGGCACAGGTGTGAGGTGTTGGGGCCTTGTTCAGTGTATGGAACTTGATTAGAAAATACATAAAGAGGGGCTTAGAAGGGGAAATATATGGGCATGGGGGTATAAATGAAAATAGACATTGGGGATATAAATAAAAAACATATACATGGGGATATAAGTGAAAAAAAAAAAGTGGTACAGAGCAAGGTAGAATTACTCATGGAAAACTGACAGGAGAAAAGTTTGGTTGATTTGGGGTTTTTTACCCCCTCCCTCCTTGAATGGATGAATTTTTCAGGTGGTTTATTGATGAAGTGTTCGAAGGGGTGATCAGAGATAAAAGGGCTGTTTTCTTGTTGAGCTTCTCATAAAGCTGAGATTGGTGTTCTAGAACAGAGCTGGTTAAGGGGGGAAGCTGTGGTGGCTTTAATAATTCAGGCAGTGGCCGGGCAGAGTTTTTCAAGCTCTTGTTTCTCTGCCAGCCTTTCAGGAGTTGCTGCAGTGAGTGCCCGGTGCTCGCTCTCTGCTTGTGGAAACCTTCCTGCAGCAGCTCCATGAGCCAGGCCCCAGAAACCCGCGTTTGCAGCTGATTCCATGAGCCAACAAAGAACCTTTGTGGTCAGGAGGCTGCCTGGAGTCAGGGAGGGGAGGGAGGATCATGTGCTGGCACTGGCAGCAGCCGTGAGCAGAGAGCCTGGGACGGCTCTTTCCCGATAAGTTTTACGGTTCTCTCGTGGTAAAAGTGAGTTTTGTGTAGGGAACTGGCTGCTGGGACAAATACTGGAGTGCTCTGCCCTGTGTTTAGGAAGTTTGTGTTCATACTTCAGCCTGTTTTCTCTGCATGCATTCATGGGTAACTTGCACAGGGCCAACACCTTTTTTTTTTCCTTTTCTGGGTAGATTTTTTTGCCCCCTCTCCTTGTTTTTTTCCATCAGCTGCACTGTGAGTGCTGTAGCTGCTGCAGCTCAGGGGTTTTCCATGATCAATCCCTGTTAGACAGGGGAGAAGAGAGCCTTAGGAATGGAAAAAAACAAAAGTTTATTGCAAAGTGAAACGTTCTGCAGAAGTGCAGACTGTGAGCACAGAGCAGTGATCACTGACTCTATAAATCATTGTCAGGCCCAGCTCATTTTATCATATTTGTTCTTGTTCTGTTCCATCCAAGTTTCCAGAAACACTTGGCAGCCCTCCAGCCTCGGCAGAGCCAAAGATCAAACTGTGCTCTTATTTATAGCCAGCTAAGCTCCACCTGCACAGCTCCACGGCCTGTTTGTCCCTGCAGCTTGCAGAAAACTCTGGGCTGAAGCAGCAGCTCTGCACTTTGGAGCATTCCTGACACTTGCAAGGGAAGTTTCCTTACTGCTGGCTCTTAGAAATGGAGGGAAAACTCTCTCTGTGTGATCCACAGGCTGCTAAAGCTGCAGAGAATTCTGTAGTGAAGTGTTTTTCAGAAATCTATCAAACCCAAAATCTGGCCAAAACAGTGAAATGTGGGGTTAACTGTTAAATTTGAGAACTTAACAGTGTGTGTCCCCTCCATCTCCTGATGGCCAGTGATGAGCAGGAGGAAGCCTCTACTATTGTGGTGGGCTGATAATCTAAGAGACACAATTCTGAGGGAAGTGGAAGACCCAGGTCTAATCCATGTGCCTGTTTGTGCTGGACTTAGAATTAATCTTTTCTTGTAGCCCAGCAAATATCTACTTGCTTAAGTTTTACAGCTTGGATAAATAAGCAGATCCCACACCTGACAGAGAGCTTTGGTCAGTTAACCTGAACTGAGAAAGGCTTTGTGGCAGCTCAAATCATCATCATCATTATGATGATGATGATGATGTAGGTGATAAAAATGAAGATAATAGTGTAGATCACGGCTTTTGCTGTCTCGGTTTTTCCATTCCTGCCTTTCTAATCCTGTCATATTCTCCCTCTGCCTTGCCTCGGGGCCCCCCAAGAAAGGTCACACTTCCCTTTGTGTTATTCTTAGTTTAATTCGCTGCCAGGTTTTTAAGGTGAGTGTCAGAACTGTTGCAGGGAAGCTGTAAAGGTTGTGTGGCTGGGAAAGAAAGGAGAGTTGGGGCAACCTCCAGGAACTGGGCAGGTGGTAAAAGCCACTGGAGTGGAGTGTAATCACACTGACTCAGGGAAAGAACTGACTTAGGACAAAACCAGTTCTCGAAACTCCACACCTCCCAGAGCCACAAGTGCCCTGTGAGTTGGTTGCTCTGTGACTTGCACGAGTCGTTTCTGCTGGGCTGGTGATTCCTGTTGCTGGTTTTGCCGTGCACGTGATAACCCTTTGTCAGTAGCATTTCTGATACAACACTGTGCATCCCTCAAATTAATTGAAAATGTGGTTCTCTCTCAAGTTTTTTTAACCCTTTCCGTGGCCTCTCTGCTGCCCAAAGACAAAGCCTTTCCTGTTAGAACAGCTCTGTTGCCCTGTGACCAGACTGTGATCCAAGAGCTGCTTGGCAATAATCAGACCTGATTAAAATAAAGCACGGGAGTCCTGTTATTTTTACCTCTGATGATGTGGTTGCAGAGGTTTAGATCAAATTAAACAGAGGATAAAATTGGCCAGTGATTGAATTGCATGGAAGGCTTTGTAAATATGAAGATGGAGGTTTGTTGTCTCCCTCGTGTTTCTAAACCTCTGGTTATTTTTAAACCTTTCATTTTTTTTTTTTATTATTTTTTTTTTAATCCCTCTATGTAAATTCAGAGGCACAGTGTGAAACCCAGCCTTGCACACTGCCTGCAAAAGTGGCTAAAGCAACTTATTTACTGATGAGTCTAAATGCAGCTCTGAGAGCAGCTGTTTCCTGTTTGTCAGGGCTCATTCTCCACCTGACAACATCAATTTCCAGCACTGATTTGACGGGGAGGGGTTGGTTTCTCTTTGTCATGCTCATGAATTTACTCCTGTGGACAAGTTGGAGCAATTGTCATATATAACACTTTATTCAGGCACACACCAGCACCTGCTGGAATCTCATCAGTGTGAGGCTGCGGTGTCAAGTAGGAAGCAGAGCAGCTTGGAGGAGGTTATTTGGGGGGAGAAGCCTTGGAGCAAGTTGTGTGGTTTTGATCCAGCTGGTACCTTTTACAGATTTCCCTCCACTGAACTCCGTGTCTGGCACGTGGCACGACCCTCTCGCTGCTGGAGCCAGGTCAGGGTGCCTGGGAAAAGGGGTCCTGCACATCCCTGGGATTTGTGTTCCTTTCAGCACACCCTCAAAACTTGGCTCTTGTAATCTTGTGGCATTTTGGGTGCCAGCAGTCAGAAATCCCTCGTAACAATGGACTGGTGCTGGTCCCTTCTTCTTCTTCTCCAGTTGGGAATTCTTCAAAACTGACCTGGAAAAATTGTATTTTAAAGCATACAGGTTTGGTGTTCATGGAGGGTCAGTGAAGCAAACCTGACTCTGTTCACTCTGGTGCTTGCCCTGATTGCAGCGTTCTGGACCTTCTGCAGGTTCCAGATCTGGAACCACGATCATTTACCTCCCTCACTTCAGGTTAAGCTCAACATCCATATTTCCGGCGTGCTTTCAGTGGAAATATCTCCCAAGACAGACTGTCCTTACGAAATTTCCACACATCTTTGGGACAAAAATCTTCTGTGCAAAATTGCTCTGACACTTTCCAGGGATGTTCAGTACAGTCCTGACCCCTGTGCTTGCTCCAGCTTTCACTTCAGATCAGTAACCTATCAAATGGCTATAATTTATAAAGGATACCTTAAGTTTTGTTAATTTAAATGGTTTTCTCCTCTGGCATTCCTGAGGCATTGGAAGTGTGGAAGGAAACAAGCTGGTTCTGACTGTTCCTCCCCCACCAGCCCACATTCCATCTCACCTCGCTGTCTCTTCATCTCTTCATCCAGAATGTGCTTTTTCTTTTTTCCCTCTCTCTTTCTATCAAAAGTACTAAGGAAATCAATAGGGCCTCCAGAAGAGAGGGAGACAAATCAGAACCAAAAGAAGCTCTAGTTTATTAGGTTTTTAATTAAACACGATGAACACATTTTAAATAACACAAAGGCCTCAGGCTGAGCTGCATCTAATCGAAACAGATTAAGTCACCCGTCCACACTTGGGTAGTTATTAATTCTGTTTATTTATGCATGCTTGCTGCAGGCAGAGCTGGTACTGCTCTGCTGCAGCTTTATTGCACAGGGATGCTTTTCCTGCATGGAATTTGGCTCCTAATTACCATTCAGATGTTGATGATGGTGAGGCTGATGGAACCGCCGTGGAAACTCAGGGATGGACCTTCCCAAATTGAGGAAATCTGAGTAAAACAACACTTTGTTTCTTAGACAGCTCTTCCTTTTCCCCTCTGCACTTTGTTCCATCTCTTCAGAGATGTTAAATTCTCCAAAGGAAATTGCCAAGTGTTCCTTGGGAGGGTTTTTTTTTAACTTGTGCATCTCGGTGCAGAGCTGTCACTGCCACCCTGTGACATCCCTGAGCACCAGCTTTTATCATGAAATATTCTGCCTTTTAAATATTTTACGTTGCTCTTGATGTGGAGTAGTTGAGGTAAACAACCCTGATTCAAACAACCTCTTAAATTTATGTGCTGGGCTAGTTAATCCTTGCTGGTGCTAAACCTTAATTGGCCGTGTACATCCATTTACAAGTTCATAAATTTTAAAATATCCACACCTGGCTTCAGCTTTAAACTCATTAATCAGAAAATACAAGTGGAGATCTTTATTCCAAAAAGGACAAGATAGGGAAAACTGTTTTCCTGCTGTGTTTGCAAGTGTTCATAATCCAGCATAGCAGGTCAAGAAATTACTTATGCAAAGCCCACATACTCATTTGCTTGGCTTCTCTGCCTGGAATCATCTTCAAATGTCTCTCATCTGCCCTT